AAGCCTCTTGCTGCGACCCAGATGGAATTAACAGAGTACTCTCCTTATTTCTAATTGTTAGATCATCCCTTTTTAACTCCAGCAAAGATGACTTGCAGATCAAACCCCTTGGGGGTCAAGGCAGTTGTTCTGTTTGTACAGCAATTAGCACAGCAGGATCCCAGGCCACAAATGGCCTCCAAGGCTGTGTCTGTGCTGTCTGTGAGCTCAAACCTCATTCCTCCTGCAAGCCAAACTTCCCAGCTCTCAACACCGCCCACACAGAGCCTTTTACTCTGGCCTAGCCAGGAACACAAAGTGAGCTCACACCTCGTGTAGAGACCAGCTCAGGCTTGAGCTGAGCTCTAGGAGCAGCACAGATGGCAGCAGCTCTGAGCTCATCCCTCTAACAGGGTCACCCCGACAGAGCTGCAGCCCTGATGCTCAACAGAGTCTGCAACACCTTAACCTGATAAGCAAAGATGGAGCGAAGTCACAGATCTCAGCCCACCACCCCAGCTCCCAGGAAATCTTGCAGAAAGAAAGGTGTATTTGTATTTGTGAGATCCCACTCAGAGCACAGGCTGCTTGCATTGTTTCAGCTCACAAAGCAAGACACCTTTGTCTTGGATGAAAGCAAAACAGCAGCTCAAAGAATCTAATGGACCACATGGGTTTTCAGAAAGTCTCTGCAAACCCCATCTGACACCACAAGTGAAGCAGTGCAAACGGCACTAAAACAACAGCAGCTTTCCCAAGCCTTCATTGGGGAGGAATGAGGCAACAGCTCAATAGTGCAATCCTGATTCTGCCACATTATTGACTTCCAAGACCAGTCAACTTTAATCTAGTACAAAGGTTAATAAGAGTCAAAGAAAATCACAGAGAAGGATCACAATCTTAACAGTGTGGCTAATTTAACCAGAATTATAAAGAAATCCCCAGCACTTAAGAGGAAAAGCTCTACAAGAAACCATGCAAGTCAAATGGAAGAGACTGGCTGAAGTCTTTGACCTGTCTTACCTGACATCCAGCTGGAATAGCACTGAGTACTCTCCTTTCCATGAGGATCATGCTGCCCCAACCAGCATCCAAGCTCATCAGCCCTTTTCCAAGCAGCCCTAGCATGTTCCCTGCCACTCCCAGTTTCCAATTCTCCAGTATTTAGTTTTCAAATTTTACATGATCTATTTTGCCCAGGGCACAGCAGATCACTTACCCTTCTCCTGTTAGCTCTCTGTTTAATTACAGTTTAATGTGAATTGATCTTTACATTAATGAGTCTGTAAAGAAGATTGATTTTCTTCAAGAGACTTTTCTGCTTAGTTTGGCAGCAGAGTAGTCCTATTGATTTCGTTTTCCCCAGTAAATACACTGCAGTGTCACTGCATCTTCTTGTGAGTCAGCTAATCCTATTTCACACTCTTTTGCTCTAAAAATCCCTATTCTGAGTTCCTTGTTATCTGTGCTTATGCAGAGCAAGATGATGGGGCCAAAGCATCTCAAACAGCTCTGCCTGTTGCTAACACACAGCTCACTGCTGTGGGTCACTGTCCCCTTTGTTCCTAAATGGCTGGAGGCTTAAAAGACAGTGAAAGAAATGAAAGTTATTTTTAAGTGTTTAATCTGTTAACTTCCTTAATTCCCAGCCAGCTAAGGATGGGGCAGAGTGTTGTCTGGTTAGCACAGTCCACTGAGCTCTACAGCTGCCCAACATTCTGTGGCAGAGGATGCTGACTGAATCAGGCTTGGAGCCAGGGCAGAGGACAAGGATCCATCTGTCCAAATGCCCCAAAACCTCTCCAGGGTGCAGTTACTCACATGCAGGTAGATGCAGCAGCAAAGAAGACAAACCCTAGAGTAAGAGCTGAGCTTAGGGGTGTGTAGGAAACCCATAACAACAGACCAGTGCAGGGTTGATTGCAGCTCCTTTAACCTGGCAGGCCTAAGAGTTCTTCCATGCAAGTTGGCGAGGAAGCTGGACATAAACAGACTAAGTTCTGCAAATAAATGGTTTCTTCCACCACCCCTTTCCCCAGCAGATCAGGTAACAGGGTCTCCTCGAGAGCCTTCAGAGTTAACACACTGTGGCTGCACTGGGATGGGAAATCCTCAGCCAAGGGCATGTCAGTGAAAACATCCTGCCATCAACTCCCCAATGTCCAAGTCTAGGAACTGTAACTAAATTACAAATGCTGTGGGAATTGCAGGCAAGGTTCTCCTCTCAGCTATTCCGATGTAATTTCGGAATGAATCCAGACTCGCTCTCTCCCCCTCCCAGCTGAATTTCCTGGCTTTTGTTTGCACTAACAGATGTTTGCATTTAATGTCTGTCTTTATTTGGTAACCCCTACATAGATTATTTTTCCCTTCTGTTCTATTAAAAGCCTTATCAAGTCCCTTATGTTTGCTCTTGCTGAAATGAACGACTCTGGCAATATTTTCAACATGCAAGGCAAACAAACTGATTCTTCGAGGAATAACTGAACTGAACCAAACTTCATGGCAGGGTATCAGGACAAAGCATTTTTGGTACATATGTTATGTCTGCATCCATCTGCAGCCTGGGACATCCAAAGGCTTGCAGAAAGCTCTGAGAATTCTCTCTTCAACAGATTCTCACATGCTTACATATATTTTTAACTGGCCTTTGGTCCTCATACGTGTGGGGTCAGGCAAGTTTTGGGTGATGGAGACAGGTATGGAAAACCCAAAAGCAGAGAATACAAAGTAAAGCTCATTAAAAAAAAAAAAAAAAAAAAGGGCAAAACCCCAAAAAAACCCCACACAACCACCAAACTTTATGGAAAATTTGAGTTTGGCAGTATTGTTTCTCCCAGCCCCAAAAGGAGAAGAAGTGCTTTCTCCTGTTTAGGAAGAGTAGGAGATGAAATAACTCATTCAGAAGGGATGTTTTGAGTGACAAATACACAAGACTTGCTTTTATAATACATTAACAGTCCTTTGGAAATACTTAACCACATGCAATATACAAAACCTACTTCAGAGGTTTGTGAGGTAAACACACTTCACACATTTCTAAACACTGAAAAAAAAAAAAAGGAAACGTATTTATTTTTCTTTAGCATTAAGAATACACTGTAACACTATACACTTAAACATAAACCAGTTTCTTAGTACACAAGTCTTCATTATGAGTTTTCACCCTGGGTTTGGTTTGGCAGCCTCCCCAGTTATTACTTCACAGATTGGAAGGCCAGAAGAAACCAGTATGACCATATAATCTGATTCCTTACATCACACAAGGCTAAACTTACCCACCAATTTGCCTATCAAGCCCATTAGCTTAGAGTTGAACTAAAGGCCCATCTTTCAGGAAGCCAAGCAATTGATTAAAGACTCCCAAAGATGGAGAAAACTTCACTTCCTCAGCAAATCATTCCAATGTGACTCAGCAACATTGATTGGAGCAGGTACTTTAAAACATCATTCAGGTTATTTTTATCTCTGATAAAAATTAAAAGGAAATGCAAGGGGAAAAAGATGTGGCATTCTCCAATACAAGCTGAACAAAGAGACCCTTCTTGCAGCAGTATGACAGCAGTATTACAAATCCTGCTATCAGAGTTATTTATGTGCAGCAGCTGAGGAGAGCAATTCAGATTTCTGGAAAGTGATACTAAGCAGGTTTGTTCAGAATACCATTCTTTTATCATTTGGCTTTGTAGCTTCTCCTTCCTTCTGCACCACTCTGAAATTTCAGAGGAGCTGTAAATCTACTGCCTTCCACAAGCCATTATTCCCCCTTTCCAAACTGCTCATTTCATTTCAGGAATAAAAAACCCAAAGCTCCTGCAATTTGGTTCTTTGCCAACAGCGAAATTAATAGCAAAAAATAACAACAGGGGCTTGTGGAACTCAGAGCATTTATAGACTTCATGAGAAAGAGAAGCCAATCTGGGGGGCCTAAAACTATATCCCTGCATGGCAAATTCTGTGCAAGCTTTCCATCCATAAATCAGATTTCTGGAGGTCTTTTTCAAAGGCTGGTGCACATCACAAATGTGGCAGCACAGAAGGGCAGCAGATAAAGGTTGCCTCAGAAAAAGTCAGAGCCTTTTGAGCAAGAGAGGTCAATCAGGTGGTGGTGTGGTCACAGATGATTTTCCACCACAAGAAGCACCAAATTCATGGAGAACAGAGGTACCTTCACAGGGCCATGCAGGCTGGAAGCCACCACCTGAACTGCTCCAGCATTTTGCTGGAGTCCCTGTTAGCCATAAACACTTCCCAGGAACCTGGGAGGTATCATGCATACCTCAGCAAAATTCCTTCTCAGTGCACAGTACAAGCACACACATGCAAAAATTAATTTCAGAAATCCACACTCTTTAGATACTAAATAGTTTGATATTTTAATATTTTATTCCCTTCAGCAGTACCATGGACCCAAGATCCTTGGTGATCAATATACAAGGGCTCTCAGGTGTCTGATGCTTCTGTGGTCATCTACACTACCAAAGTTAGGAACTTCAAACCTTCTGCAGATCATGCTTTGCAATCACTGCATGATTTCTTCTGAGAAAAAGAAATCTCAAAAGAAAATGTTAAAAAGTAGTTGAAAGAAATCATAAAAACAAGTCTGGAATGAGTTCCCTAAAAGATTAAGATATGAATACTCTCTGGCTTTAAGAGGAAAGAAGAAATGATCAGAACAGGGCCAGGAATAAAAAGAACAATAAAGCAAATGTAAAATTTAATACCACAGGTATGACCTAATGGTTGAAACCCAAAGGCAGATGAGAAAAAAGTTTTATTCGACCTGTGGAATTTACTGACCTGAGTTACCACTGACCATAAGCACAACAAACAACCTCACACAAATCACACTACTCCAGATGATGTTTCTTAATTAAGGTTAATTAATTCTTACATTTCTTAACAAGCCAAAAACCAAACTCTAGAGTCAGCAGGAAGGAGTGTGACACCCATGAAGCCCTCAGAGGCAGCCAAACCCTCCCCAGGGGAGCCCAGAGCCAGGTGAGGTGACAGTGACTTACAGGTACAGGGAGCGGACGCTGGAAGCAGCAGAGCCCAGCGAGGGAATGGCACTCAGCTCGTTGTGGTCCAGCCTCCTGCAAGAAACAGAAATCAGGGTTGAAGGCAAGCAGCCTGTGCCCGGGCCTACAGGAGCAGGGGAGGCTGGCACTGAGGCAGAAACCTCCATCTGAAGGGGTTTTTCTGGGCCTCTGATGGCCACACCTTGGTCTTTAGGCCTTTCCCCCCTGCCATCACCTCCCCAAAGTGCCAGGCAGGAAAGCATTGTGCCACAGCCCTCCTCTACCCTGTGTTTCCAGAATCAAACATGACACAGGAAAATTTTGCACCTTAAAGCCGCCTGTGCCATGGCTCGGGAATTTAACCCTTCCCATGCTCACACCAGATCAGGGCCTGGAGGCACAACCTGATGGTATCCTGTCCACAGCATGCCCAGCTCTGGAAATCCCAGAGGGATTCCCCACAAAGGCAGCAGTGCTGGGCACAGAAATGTCACCAGGCCAGGCAGCTGGGGAGCACACAGAGCCCCTGGTTAATGGCACCACCAACACAGACACGTCCCCTGCCAGGGCCTAATGCTTCAAAGTGTTTTTCTGACTGAAAGCAGATCCTCGCCATGTGACTGGCTCTTCCTTGCTTTAAAGAGCCCTTGTTTGTAGGTGAATTAGTCAATTAATTACTGTAACAGTCGCTCGTCTGGCTGCCTGAAAATTACCTAATTTCTCAGTCTCCTCACCCTCTCCCCCCTCTCACTGCAGGGATCACAGCCAGGCCCTGGGCAGGCTCCCCAGCACCCCCAAAGCACCCCTGGTCACTCTGGGCTTTCCAAGTGCTCTCCTTCTGCAAAAAATCCTGACAGAATCACAATTTGGGTGCAAAGCAGAGCATCTCAGAGCTGCACAACCCAGGATTGCTAAACCACAAGCATGAGTAGGGGCAATCTTAAATTATGTTGGGTTTTTTTCCCCTCTTCTTTCCTTTTAACACTATTTTTGGCAGGTGGGAGAGGGCAGTGGCACATTTATCCCAGAACTTCCCTTCTGGCTCCTCTGAGAGGAGGCAAGATATTTGATTTCACGAGGAGTTCCAAGCACTGCTGGGATAAAAGCTTTCCTCTGCCTCTGACATTATACCCATGCCTTAAAATGTAAGGGAAAAAAGCCAGATGCATTGCAATTCAGCAAGGAGCTCCACTCTGCAACTAAAAGCTCACTGTTGCTCATATTACAACATGGTCTGGAGCTTCCAAAGGTACAGAGCAAGCTGGAAAGAGCATTAAAATGCTTATTTGAGCATGTTTTCATTAACATCTAACTAAGCATCTTCAGGAAAAGAAGGAGCCTGGGTCAGCTCTGATTAAGCAGCTCTGACACCAAGCAGCATCTAAGAACTGGTCAAACCCTGCTCTGACATAAGTGTGATATTCATATATCAGCCTCCTGCCATGGCAGCAATCAGTCAGAAGTGCTTCTCCCACCTCATTTTCTCTCTTGGCTCACAGGCACCATTTGCTGACACAGAGGAGACAGCCAAGCTCTGTATTTGCCTGGGATTTCCCACTCATCTTTTCTTTTTCCCTATGTAAAGGAATTGAAAAATAAAAAACAAAAAAAAAGAGGGGAAAAAAAACCCTCAAAACAGAGCAGCTGGGCTCAACAACTTTAAAAACTTTCAGTCTCCTTCCCCAGCCCTCACCATTGACAACACAAACCCTCTGGATGCTGAGGCAGAGGAGGAGGGGGGCCACCCATATAAAATATTTACAGTCCAGTTGCCAGGCTGGTGTCAAGCTGAAATGGAGCCTGCTCAAAAATAGCACAGCTCTCCAGAGCTTTCAGTGAAAGGCACTTTAGAAAAGAAAAGGTGAGTTGTTTGGAGAGGAATTTTAGCTTGGTTACTACTTTATTTGCTACCAATGAGTCTGGAAAGCCTGAGAGCCATGAAACCATCAGTTTGGGGGATTCCATGAGCCACATGAGCTGAGGAAAGCCCAGAAAGGAGCACAGGGCCCACCCCACAGCAGCACCCTCCATCCATCCATCCATCCATCCATGGAATGAGAATGGATGGGCACCAGGGCATTGTCACCACATGAAGGCACCAAAGGGGATGGAAGATCAAGTGTCCTGAAGGAAAATAATGCCCCAGTCCAGCCCCTACCCTGAGCCTCCACCACTTATTTCAGAGCCAAAGGGGGATCACTTTGAGCCACTAAATTTCATCCTACACAGACTTAAAACTTTTCTAAAAGCTTCTCATAAAGGCCACCAAAACAAAGCACACAAACAACTGCCTAAACTGAGGGAGAAGTGTAGGGTAAATTCTGCTCTGACTTTATCACAATCTCAGAAAGCAAAGCACAGCATTGAAGATAAGGGATGAAATTTAAATCTTTTGGTCTGCAGATATTTTCTTTAAATCAAGGGAAAACAAAATGTTTTCAAAATACACCACAGTAATTATTCACATGGAGAGACACACACAGAGTTTTAAGCCTTGTGCAATGCTCAGGAACCACAGACAGCACGTTTGAAGCATCATGGGAGGTTCTGCTCTTATCAATGCATCTATTATTTGGGGCAATCTCTTTCCCTGAGGGTGCCTTGGTTTGCCCAGCACAGCATGCACAGAGAAACACTGACTTGCTCTCGAGACATGCCACAGCATGATGCTTATTTCATGAATGTTTGTCAAGTGCTTTAAAAAAAAACGCTCAGAAAGAAGATGCTCTGGCAATAGAGATGTGGTTCTCCTTGTGAAATGAAGTTTATTTCAGTGGTCTGTGGTTTAGCTGTTATTCAAAAGCAACCAAGATTAGTAGATAGGGCTTTTAATAGAGCTTCTCCCTCAGACTGCCTTCCAGGCTCTGCTCCAGACCTCTGCCTCCCCTCCAGTCTCCCATTTCTGACTGCTCCCTTTCCCTCCTACTCACTCTTCTGCTCTCTCCCCATTCCCTAACCCTTTCTGACACAGCAAGCAGCTCTTATCTACCCATTACACTGTGGCTGCACTACTTATCTCCCCAGAAACCCTGACACCTTTTTACAGCATGGAACTGTTCACTGCTCTACACACGTGCACAGCACTTTGCTCAAGGGAATTCCCTACCTGGGGAATCAGAAGCCACACACATTTCCCAATTTCCCACCCTGTGCTCCCTGAAGTCACACACCTTCAGGCACTTCCATGAATAAAAGCTTTTGCTAAGCCACAGTCATGTCAGGATAATTATAAATCAGGGCTGCAATTCTCTCCTTTAAGCACAGAGCAATTTAAGGCTTTCCACAGTGAAAAGAGAAGTTGAGAAAACAGATCCTGCAGGCAGTGTTCTGCTGACCCACATCACCTTCTCTCTAAAGATTGTGCAGAGCTGATTTCAGAGCAGCGCAGTCACTCCTAATATCCATTCCTCACTTACTCATGATTCCCAGCAAGTCCCTACTATTCATGTAAATAGAAGAGCTAGGGGCAATCAGGCCATGAGAGAGATGCTGCATGAATCTCCACAGTCCAATCCAGCAGTCATCAGCCAGGGAGAATTCCACTTTTTGCCTATTTAAGAATCACAGGATCTGGCTCCTCCACGAGTTCCAGAGCCAACACTTAATGAAAACAGACAGAGGACAAGAGCAAATGCTTGATAGAGCACAGTATTGTTTCTGAAAGGAAATGTTTTTTCAGTTTCCCATGAGGCAGCAGTAGCTCTTCAAACAGAGCCCAAACCTCAAGCATGCCAGCGATTCACCAGGCAAACACAGCTCATCACCTCAGCCTGCCATCTCAGGCACTTTTGGTTTTTAAACCCCAAAATCAGAACTCCAGGCACCCCTGTGAAGGGCTGACAGTGCAGCCCCTCTCTGAGTGAAACTGCTGAGCCTTCTGAGGAGCTTGGAAAACCTGCATTCCCTGAAATGGGTTTGTTTTACAGCAAGGAGGGGCTGGCACAGCCACTCAGACCTTCAGCAGCTCCTCTGTTCCCCACCAGGGCAGGGAACAGCTCTGCTGGTTTAGCCTCTTCCAGCAACACCTCCAGCAGAGCTTGTTCTGGTTCCAAAAGGAGCACAAATGTCTGGGAGAGGAGGAGGCACAGTTAAGTGCTTTGTTATCCACTACACTACACCTTTGTTTCCTGGGAGATTTGGGCTAGGTTGGCATCAGGTGTCACAATCCAGGTTGCTGCGCCTTGCTTCAGGGTTGTGCTTTCAGCAAGGAGCTCTGTGTGTGTGCTCAGGTGTGCTCAACTGCTGCCTCCAAGCATTGCACAACACCCAGGGAGGCAAACTCCAATGATTTCCAATAACAGCTGTGCTGTTTTAATTGGGATGTTGTGTTCTGCCCATTGATTAGTTTAAAAAAAGCAGCCCAGATACAATAGAGAGGGAAAAAAACCTCCACACCAAGTCAGATCTGCTCATTCAACTTAGCTAAAGGAAGGTATTGTCTTAGGAAACTAGATATAATTTCCTCACAGCCCACAAGCAGCTCTGGCAAAACACAATTAAAGCCTTTGAAGGAATACTTACACTTCCTGCAGGTTCGACAGCTCTGCAAAGACAGAAGGATCAATCTCTGCCAACTTGTTGTAGCTCAGGTTTCTGTTAAAATAAAAGACAGTGGGATCAGCAAAATACAGTCACCCTGATCAGCAAAACAGAGTCATCTTAATTATTCTGGATTGCACTGGGAAGGTTTGGGTTTTGGGGTTTTTTTTAAAGAGAACTTAAACAGGAGAGCAGCACTTTTCTGCTGAATACAGGAGTGAGTTTAGTTCCATGACAAAAATCTTATCTAGCTCTCCCCAAGCTTCTTCCTCTTTTGCATTAGTGTGGTTTTAATTTGTCTTCATATTACACAATTACATTTATTATTCTACTATTGATTATTTCCAACCACAAAACTAATCACAGATTAATAGGATGTTTCCTGACAAATTAAAGTCAGAACTGAAACAATCAACAAACCTTCCACTAAATATTTTATAGCTACATTCACATAGGGTATTTTTTATACCACTGTGTGTTACACACAAAATACACATATGGACACTTGCTATGTGTAAACATAGAATATATTCTACATTTTCTAACAAGATGATATAACTAGTCTGTCACTGATTTCTTTTTTAATCAGTAAATACAGCTTTCAAGCCACACAGTATAACACACTTTGGTCCTCAACAGCCCCAGCCAACACTTTCCAGCTATCCAACAGCCCAAACCTAAACCTAAATCATATTCTAGCACTGATGGATGACAAATGGGCTGTGCAGCCTGGTGGGAAAGCAGATCTGCCTCACAGGACATCATCCCTGATTGGAAACACATCCAGAGCTCAACATGCTGCAGGAAGGAGCACACTGCAGGAATTGCTAGGGACAGCAAACAGGCGAAATAATGCAAATTAAGTGCTAATTCCATAAACCACAAGCAAGAGCTTTGCCATGCTCTGCTGTAGCATCACACAGTGCAAGAGCAGAGCCTTCCCTCCAAGACATGCAATCTCAGCACTGCACACAGGACAGGTCAAACCTGCAGCCAGGACTAACCAGGTCAATTAAGACCAAGTGACTAATGATGCAGAAAGTAACAAGTGCTTTAATTACCCTTCTGTATGCAGTGCTGGCATGTTTCTGTGAGAGTGTAATCTAAAGAGGGAGGAGGCAAATTGATGGGTGGCAGCAGAACAGCAACCACAGTAAATTGTAAGGAAATTGTGAGGGGGACTTCTTTAATTTTATTTTGCTCCACGCCCTGCTCTCGGATATTACCCTGGGTAAAATTCAGCCCTGCTGCCTCCTCTGCAGGGAGGTTACACCCTCTTGCTGCACCTCTGAACACAGCCCAAAAGATTCATGGCTTGATTTTAGATAAGCCCTCAAACATTGAGCTGCTTATTCAAACCACCAAGCCAGTCTGACTAGAAAACTGGCCAATCTTCCCTGGTTTGGGATTTTTGTTGCTTTAAAACTGTGCCCACAGAGAGCAAGCAGGTCTGGGACCCAAACAGGGTCTAAGTCACCAATGCACCCACTGAACTTCCACCAATGCTCCACGACCAAGAGCCGAGGCACACACAAAGAAAAGGCAGCTGCCAGAAGAGCACTGATGGAAAATCTCTCCTGAAGTGCTCACATTGACACACTGCACTCTGTGGCAATGCACAGAGAAATCCAGGCTCACAGCAGCCTTGCAAACACCAAGACTTGAAAGACTACAAAGCTTACCAACTTTGCAGGAAGTTATAAACACCTCTTTCAAGCTAAAAAGCAGATATTGATCACCTGCCCTCTTGTAATGCATTTATGGGAAGTCCTCAAAGCATTCCCCTGCACCAGGGAATCATTTGATGGCTCTCACATCACACCATTCCCCATCATTTCAGCTCCTTGCATCTTACCCAAAATGTTCAATTTTTTTTTGCCAATACCTGCTGTGGAACAATGTTCCACAAATCAGCAATGCAGGCTGGCTCTTAACAGAGCCTAGAGCTGAAGTTATAGAGGAGTGTAAAACCTAACCAAGCATCTCAGTTTAAAATATGCTGTCCTGTAAGCCCCTACTGTCTTTTAAAACACTCAAGAGACCTTTAAATCAATACCAGCCTACAGCAGATATCCATTTCACTATGAACTCAAAGGCATTTATCTAAATAAAAGTCAAACTGCAGTTTAAACTCAGAGTGTGTTTGAAAGCCAAGTCCATATTCATAGCACAATTACGAATTAAAGTGCAATTTGCCCACAGATTACATTACTACTTTTTTTTTTAACCACACAGTAAGATCATGCTGAAGCTTGCCCCTGCCTGATCTACAGGCAAAAAGAAAAATACAACAGGTAAAGTCCTACAGGCTCAGCACAATAAAGTCAACACAGAAACACAAGTGACAAGCTAAAAGGGGGAAATACAGCCAGACATGATGGTGCATGAATCCATCTGTTTTCATGTATTTCTGTGCCTTTTACTGCAGCCAAACTTCACATTTTTCAGGTAATCTATTTCTCCTCAACACATTCCTCTGTAACAGGCTAAGGGGCTGTTTTATGAAGCAAGAAACAAGAACACATGCACCAGAACTGATCCTCCCTGCACTTGCCAGAGGGACCAGGTCCCTGGCTTAGTCTGTGCTCAAGCACTGAGTGATGCTGACAGGAACCTCCAAAGCTCACAAATGAAAAACAAAGATATTCATAAATTAAAGGATTTCATAGCCACAGTTTAACATCACTCAAAGTGATTTTCTGATTATTGCTACTGCCATTCAGGACATTTGAACATCAAAGTCACTGCACAAGTGGCTGGCTCTTCAGATAGCACAGACAGATTTTGCTGCGCCAGCAACAGAAAGACTTCCCAACATCTGCTGCAGAAATTCAGGTGAACTCCATCTTCTTGAACACCAAAGTCTTCAGTTCTCTCCACATTACTCACCCCAACCACCTCACTAAATGTACACTACACTGCTCAAAAATCAGTAGGGAAATGAAAGCTAGAAATAGAGTCAGTACAAAACAAACAGGAGACTTGAAATTACATTGATACGCCAAAATAAAGTTTACTGAGTATCTGGCACTAGCTGTATTTTAACTTATATTAAAACACCCAAGAATTTCTAGCCTGAAGCATTAGCAATCAAAGGATGTGCTTCCCAGAACTCTGATCCCCTCACTAGGCAGTGTGTGGCATGCCAGTCACAGCACTGAAGTGAGAGAAAGAATTAACATGTTTCAATAGACAGATCACTGGGACTGGGAGTCAGGAAACCTCTGTCTGTTCCTGGCTCTCTTCATCTCCTGCTGCGTGACCGGGTCATGTCACATCACCTCTCCAGAGCTTTTGTTTCCACAGCCACCCTTTGTCTGTCTTGTCTATTTAGACTGTAAATAAAATTGAGGTAGGTATTGTCTTGCTTTGCCTGATGCTGATGAAATGAGGCCTCAATCTTGGTTGGGCTCCAGTAATGCAAATAAAGGAGGGAGCTCAAAACTTGAGGTCATGGGCGCACAGGATGCTCTCCCACTCCTAAATGTGGGTCCCAAATGTCCAGCAGTGAATGAAGCACTGCAGGATTTTAATGTTTCCACCAGGCTCTCTGAGCTGAGCAGACCAGCAGTGCAGGCTGATGGAGATGCCAAGCCCAGGAGCACAGCTGTCCCATCACTGAAAGCTGGCACATTGGCTGTTCCTCTGCAGCAAGAATGCATTTCTTCTTGAGGAGCCCTTGGGATGATGCCACAATTGCCCAATGAATCACCAAATAAATGTTCCTGCCATCAGTTTTCCAAAATGTCTCCCTCAAAGAAAGAGGGCCATCAGCTCCCAACACCAAAACCCTGTCCTTTCCCAAACCAGCACCTGCCCAGCCCTCAGGTATCTCTCACCCTGAGCATCCCTTCAAAGCCAGTTTATGAAGCAGCATCTGCAGTGTTTTATGCCAGCTCTAAGACCCCATGGCTTTGGTGCATGTTCTGCCCATTTCCTGGCACCTAAACCTGAGGTTAGCTGACCCAAAAGTGGGGCTGCCCACAAACTGCTCAGTGCCCTGCTCCTCTGCATGGGTATGTTGAATTACTCATGGAAGGATATTTTGATCCTTCCAAGGCAACTGTGGAAAGAAAACAGAAGTCAACTATATAAATTCAAGAGCCTGAGCTGTGAGTTGAGGGAAGCATCCTACAAAGCTTACTTTTCTACAGCTGGCAGAGGAGAAAGAACAAAACAACCAACCTGAGTGGCCTCTAACATTCAGGTTGTTTTTTTCATACAGCTTCTATTGAAAAGGAAAAGCTGGTAAATGTTTTTAAACTTGATTCTGATTTACTGGCATGAAAAGTGTTCTGCATATTATTTATCCATTTAAGCCTTCCTCGTACTGGCTAATCCAACAATGAAGGGTTTTCCCCTCCTGTCACTAAGATGCCTGTGATCAGGAACTGAGAGCCTGTTAAATCAATATGGGAAGGGCCCTGGTCTGCCTTTTCAGTTATTCTAGTCTCTAAATAAGAAAGCAGTGTTTGCCTTCAGCTGGCATTATGAGAGTGGCATTATCACTGAACTCTGCAGAGACTGAAGTCTTGCTAAATAACTGGGTATGCTCAAACCACCTCCCAAAAAGAAATAATGCTGTCACAGAAAGAGTCCTGCTTGCAGTGAGAGGGATCAGTCAGTTCTTTGACCTGTGAGAGGCCAGGTGCAGGGCAGATCAGGAGTTTATGTCCAAGTTTTGGCTCTGCTTTGGGACCTTGACCAGTGCAGAGAAAAGCCACCTAGCTCTCTGCTGAAAACCAGACAAAGGAGCAGAGACATACACGGCTCCTGGTCTCTGTCCACCACGATGATGGCTGAATTCTGTTCTGCAAGGTGAAAGTTTCCAACCCTCACATCAAAACCATTTATCTGTCAGTGCAGAAGATTATGTCAAAAGCGTTTCTGCACCTTTTGATGACAGGCATTGGAGAAAAGGAGGATGGCTTGGAATTCTGTCACTGCCAACTGTGGCTTTCATTAAACACTTTGTCAACCGTTGTCATAACACAACTTTTCATTGCTCCTGCACAAAAGGGAGCTGAGGGCCCAGAACAATTGAGTCCTGCAGT